TGGTGAGTAACACTTTACTAAATTGCCACACCTCACAAATACTTTTCGATTACTTCATAGAGTAGACTAAGCTCAAAATTGGCCTATCGTCTGCGATGCATATAAATGCAAGATTTTTAACCGTACTCTTAAAAACTCCCTAAAGAACTCTATAGTTCTCCAGGAACGAATTGAGTTTTGAAAATTTTTAGTCCGTCTAGTACTACTCGCTTTCTCATCAGTTTTACATTGAAAAAACGTTGTAAAATGTTTGAAATCGTCGAGTAGTCGTTGAAGGCAAAAAAGATACAAACAATACACGTCCATCCAATAAAATTATGAAATATTTGTGTACATCGCAAAACGCATATTTGTGTAGATGTGCTTTTGCAAATTTCACCGTAAGTGCTTTCATTTGTCTTTTTTTTTTCCGACAGTTTTGGTCATTCAAAAAGCCTATCGCCAGAATGCAAGTGGCTTCCACTTTGAGGAACAACAATGGCCAGCGAGAATCGATATCGCTTCTTCAAATGTTGTGGAAAATGGTTCGTATGAACAATTGTGGTAACTTTACAACTTTTAGTATTACCTTGGTTTCTCCAATCGAAATTTCTGTATTGGAATAAAGCCTCATATAAATGCGTCTCCTTAATTTACATAGTCTATCTTCTTTAATCATTCGCCTTCCCTAAAATGTCACATACCTCAGAACCTGATAAAAATTTCAATGTTGTTTTTTTTTGTTGATCCTTGGGGGTTTAAAGGATCAATGGTGATTGCGTGTGTGTACAAGGATCTGCATGACCTACTTCTGACAGATCAAGCCATCAGGAGTGAAACAGACAACCAAAGGTGCCGTTATTTTCATATTACTCCATGTCGTTTACCTCCAAAAAAACATAACACGGAAACACATAAGATCTAAGTTCAACTAAACTGAACTGATAAACTTTCCAAAAACCCTAACTAGGGTTGGAAGACTCCCTGCTTGTCTCTAACCATTCCACTTCATGAAATATTGGCTTGAATCTACAAAAAATATGTAATATTACTTCCTTGGTTCTGGTCCATTTTCAAATACAATTTCTTCATAGGTATATCAACTCCAGGATAATGGCCGTTACTATGGACCCCAAGCCAGAGACATTGCGAGAAAATGTCATCCTAAAGTTCAAAAACCTAAAGGTAACATGAAAATTAGTTGTTATAAGTTGTTTTGATTTATTCTGACAAGATAAAATCCATTTTCAGGTCTTGACAGCAGAGAAGCGCTGTATGTTTTGGAGTGGCCTCAACAAAAGGTAAAAAAACTACAATATGTTATTGTATTGTATTTATTCCTTCTTAATTTAAATTAAGTATGGGGGAGAGTGAATGAACTTTCTCAGATGTTTTCGCGCAGATGATCACTTTCCTGGAAGCCAACATGTTGTCGTTTTTTAGAGAGGGGAAGTCTGATTGAAATGTTCTCGCAAATATGACTACAATGGAAGAAAATCTTAGCGCAAAATTGTCAATCACCTCTTCCCCAAACTATGAATAATTTTTTAACTTTACTTTTTTTTCATGTCCGACAGCTTTTCAGAGGAGGATGTCATGTAGTTACATCAAAAAGTAACTCAGACGAAACAGTCTGCAGCTGCAATCATTTGACGCATTTTCCTGTCTTAATGGACTAAGACGGTAGCAAAAAGGTAACAAAATTATATTTGCCTCACTCAATAATTTTATGGGCTCAATGAACTATCTCAATATTGTCATTAAATTTTTCTTTTTTTGACACAGCTCACCGAGGAGGACGAAACAATTCTGAAAATTATCTCCTACACGGGAATGAGCCTTTCCATCGTCGGGATACTTTTAACATTAATACTTTATTCTTGACTCACGTAAGTAATGTACCTGAATAATAATGATGTAGATTCTTAACTCTCCTTTACAAGGCTGGTGAGGAAAGAGATCTCAGTGCAACTCTCCATGCAAACATGAACATGCATGTTGGATAATTCACAAATTCAAGCTACATTTCTTTCCCCATCACGAACGTTTGACCAAATCATGTCTTAAGTGTATTGTTGTTATTGTCATTGTTGCTTTTGTCTAATTCGTTATTTTCTTTTTTTTAACTACTATTTCACCAGAGATGTGTTTGTCAACCTCTCTCTCAAATTCGACAGAGGGTTTCTGTGCCCCTTGGAGCTGGACAGATCATCTTCCTCGCCGGAATAAACGCCACAGAAAACAAAGTCAATAGAATGAGTTTACAGAGGCCTCTCCTTCTGTGTACTATAGAATGTTAAGACATGCACTTGTAACTATCACCATGCTTTGCACCGTAAATATCTTGTCGAAAGGAGCACGTTAAGAAGTATACGAAAACTTTTTCTTTTCACAGGCTGCCTGTGTTACAATAGCGGCTCTGATGCAGGATTTATTTATAAGTATTTATGATATGACCCCACGCAATATTTACCATTTTCCTGTTCCTATTTACTCACAACAAACTTTGGACGTAGCAGCTGTTTAGGAGGATGCTGGTCAATTTTAATTTAATGATGGCCGCCTTCAATAGCGAGTAAAACCTGTTGAGACAATGTCTTGAATGGCAAAAGATAGCTTCATAAACTCTCCATCTTTTACTACATAGTATGAGAAAAAAGATTCTTGCCCTTCCGTTGATGTTCTCTCACTGTTTCACATTGGTATACCAAGAATTTTTTTTCGTTCAAAAATAACTCTTAAAAAACATTGAACAAGATGAAGGAAGCAGGAGGAGTAGGAGATATCAAATTTATGTCATTTAACATAAAGATTCACTTTGCATGGTTCATTCAGTTCAGACACTTTAGTTCGCGATTTCTTTAGGTCATTGTCTGATAATCGAAGCTCATAATCTAGGTCCCCCGGTTGAGAGTTCTATTCCCTTCGACTAAGACCACAGTCTGCAACAGACGAGGCGGGAATTTTTGCCAGGAAATCACGACTCTTCTTTCTCTAAAAAACCACTCTCGCACGCAGCTTTAATTAAATGTATTTATCTTTTGATTCTTTCGCGCTAACTTTCTGTGCCTACTGCATGATTATTTCATATTCGACGTTTCACTTATTAAGTTTACAAACTTCTCACCCAACACTGTCATTACTTTTTACTATGGATAATAATAACTGAAGCCCAGTCATGCAGAAATGAAAAACCAAGGAACTTTCTGGAGCATTTTATTAGGTAACGTAGTTATGATGTAAATGCACTCATATAGTTGTGTTGTAAGCTTCCGGAATTTTTGAGAATGCTTTGTACATAAGGCCTGACAGTCGTGCAGCAGTAGTACTTGTTGTTGTCGGGAGTGACTGACTTTTCAGAAAGCTATACCGAGAGAGAGCTACTGTGGGAGATTGTTAATTTGGAGGCACTTTGGAGACAACTGTAAGATTGTGTCAGTGTTGAGCTAAGAAATAGTTTGTGGTGCGCTTCTATCAGTTTATTTAAGGATAATTATTCTACTTCCTTTAAGAGTCGCTCCTTGGTAAGAATATTACAAGTTGTTTAATAAATGAGTTGGGTTTGTTGATAAATGATGTTCTTTCTGTAGGTTAAATAATAATAATAGTCTTCGCACATGACGCTGACATTCAAAGTTGTTGCTTAATGAATAAGTAGATGAATACGTAAATTTTTTAATAAATAAACAACTAATTTAGAAAGAACAGAAAAACCCTTATGATTGGATCTTTTGTGGATCAGTTACATTTACCCATTTGTTATTCGCTATTCCTAAGATAAGGAGTATCGGTTTGAATCGAAAATACATCGATTGATAGGGAATTCAACTGGGCCAATGTTAGCCGGAAATGGCATAAACCAAGAGATTATAAACTATTCGGTACACATCATTCAACAGCGATTAAAGAACTTTTACACAGAGTATACAATTTAAAGTGAGAAGCGGAGACGAAGCGTTGAATAGGAATTTCAACAAGCCAGAGAAGGAGTCGATTATTTACAACAGTCTAGGTTGTCATACCCATTTATAAATATACATGGATGACGAAGCGTACGATTTAGGCAGAAGAAGTAAAAAAAAAATAATTATCCTGGAATATGCAAGTTTATTTCTATCTACACCGCTCAAATGCAATAGGTCAAAGCGCTTCAAGCTTCGATCGACTAAATACATGGCAACTAGGACTAGGGAATATTCAAGGATAAATAATCAATTATTCCTTGAGCGCAGAAAGATTAGTAGTAGAGTATAATGTCTCGCCCACAGAGCACATCACTCTGACTCAGGAACGTCTCGCACAAAGAGCATTTGACCTCACCGCTCCTTCTAAAATGTTGGAATTCAAACATTTGAACACAAAAGTGATGGTCTGCATGACGCTTTTGCAGGGGAGAGTTGTTTTGGAGGCTGAACATTAAACTATGGCCGTTAGCCTCCGTTGGTTTTCTGATCAAGTAACGATTAACTTTATGTAAACTCACATAGAACTCATGATCTGAGATAACCGAGAAGAAATCCTTTGACTCGGAGTTTGCCGTGGTATAAAAATAATAATACACCTTAATTAACACAAGAGCGAGTTAGTCCATCACTGTTGAAGGCATACGAAGTAATTAGACCCACCAAATGAAACGCGCAGCATGTCATAGGCGAGATGAATAAAAAGGAATCATTTCCATTTATGCATACGAACAGATGGTATACTAGCTTTAGCTACCCGTTGATAAAACAGAAGTTTGTTTAAGACAACTTTCATATAGCAGAGCTCATAAAGAAACTACCATTCTTAACATCAATAACTTTTGAGCTGCTTCTTTACAAAACTTCAACTACAAAAAGTGTTTTATAATGCGGTGGATTTTTTCGATTGTATTAATAAAAACAATGCTCTACATCTGGTGGAAGCTGCTTTTTGTCCATTGGTCCGTCTATGACAGAAAGAACAAAAATGGAGACAAACGCCATCACCATGTGATCAGAGATCATGATTTGCATTAAACTCTAAATCGTACGAAGGGGTTTTACGAGGATGCCGCAAATCCGCAACTCTAAAGCGTGGTGAATCAACTATAAGCGTAATGATAACTCTCAACGGCAAACCTTTGATTATCTTGGTTACGATGAAGTGGATGATAAATGGCAATGAATCCGTCAAAACTTTCAAAACCCTTTTAACATGCTTTGTGCTGGGTAAGTACGACGCTAGTTATTCCTGTTTTTTTCTTAGGTAGCTATGACACCGTCGAAATTAACTTTCCATTTTTTAAATATTAATTTCGATTTTTACTCCTACGGAACTCTAATAACGAAACATACCGAACTCTACACATGTCGTTCCTAACCTATTGGTCCATCATTAAAGCAAAACTTGGGGATCTTTGTATCATCGACATTATCATTATTCTAGGTTTCTCAATATTTTTCACTTTCCATACAAAGTACAGCGCGGGCTGACTGTGTTGTAAGAAACGCAATTAGCATTTCTTCTCAATGATAATGTACACAAATACGTTAATTTTCGACAAGTTCGAATAAATTGAAGTTTAACCGAGAAAAAAATACAAACAAACAGCCAAGTAAGTCAAAGTACGTCAAATTCTTCCCAATAACAGCTTCTTGTGAAGCTGGACCTAAGTTCACGAGCAAGCGACAGATGAAAACGGCGGCGGTGAAGGGTGCCAAAGGTGGAATATGATAAAATTCTTTCATGGTTGGATAACTTGCATCCCCTTGCACTAGTAGTCTTGGATATGCAGAATTGGAAATTGTCAGGCTTAACCCTTTTAAAGAAAAAAAGAAGCAATGTGTCACAGATATCCTTTCCCCGTTTTGCTTTGGAGATACTTAATCCAAACAAAAAAACGCGTTGCAGTTAGTTGAGCGAAACAGACAGAGAAATATTTGAGTCGCGGCTAAATTTCTCCACGCTGCCGGACTCTTTCCAAAACTTGTGTGTTTCCGAAGTGGGTTTTTCGAGGGCAATAGGAGTGCAAAAACCTTTTTCGATTTTTTTTGTGAAAACGTATTTTAGAGTTTGCAATGTCACGCCGACTCGGTAAGATGTTTATTTGGTGATGGCGTTATTTATTTAACAGCAAAATGTAATCGTTTTTACCCGAAACCGATAGCAGGCAACAACAAAAACGGCTTCTCTTCATTTCTTTCAAAAAATAGCTACTACACTCTTTCATTCAAAAAATTTCAAACCTGATAAAAACATCTGACGACAGTGCGTGACTGTCGACTCATTTCATCGATGCTTTGTTTTGATACGAATTATTTAGATCTAAGCACATAATGGGTTTTCATGATTTCCGAAACTTCCTTCGTTCGATTAGTATATTCCTGAGAGGTAAACTAAAGAAATGTACAAGAACAAATATGGGTTCTCATTGAAAGTGTTTCTGATCCGCGGTCAAAATTCACTATGCAGGATTCGAAGCCTACGTCACGCACCACTCCGATAAAAAAAAAATCTGTTGGGAATATAAATAAGAAGTTTTCTCTCTCTTTCAGCCTTAACATTTTTCACAGAGATTTTGAGAGTATTCTTTTATTTATTTGCCATGGCCTAAAAAAGAAAACTCTTCGACTTCCTCTTTCCTACCGCGAAAATCCGATTTTTGCGGGAAAAAAGCTTTTCAGCTGGCAATTGTTTGCGAAGACAAGCTTTATTTTTATGGTCGATTTCTTATTATCATCTGTAACTTTGCACACCGCTTGAAGTGATGTGATTATTATTCTACAGTGCATTTTAGAAACCATCATCCATCGTGGCTCTTTCATTTAATAATTTTTTGTAGCTCTCTCTGTTTCAGAGGAGTTTGAGTCCGGCTGCAATTACTGGAAAACAGACTAAGTGGAATTATCCCTACTAGTTATATCATATAGTTTCGTACCTTTGTTTTACAGTGGTCTCTCATGGAGCGGTTATGAGCACTACAGGTAGATTTCACCAGCAATCTCGCGCAACGCTTCTTCTTCCGATTTTTGTCAAACAAACCCACTTTCAGTTAATAGCCTCAGTAATAACCAGTAATCTGCCAACTGATGAATCGCCAATATCCCATTTCTATGTTTAAATTGTCCTTCGTGCACACTTTTACGCCCCTACAATCCTACGTCCTCTGCAATCGTTAGTGTGGATGGGAGACCTTGCAGATCGAACAAATCGCCAGAACAGAGAGCATCCATGGTGACCAATAGCAATGCTTGCTGTCAAAGCTTGACCAATCACAGAAAAGTAAGCAAAACTTTTCAAAGACCAACAAAAATAGTTCTAAAGACATGTAGAGGAAAGTTGGAATTAAATTGTTTAACAGTTCAACCCTTTAAAGACAAAGCTGATTATATTACATTAACCCAATTAAAATATTCGGCATCGTCTATGGTCAGAATACTGATCGACACTTACTTCCATACACCAATCCACTACATGTCACGTGGAGTGACTTACGGGTAATAAGCGTGAACTCTCAAAATCTCTGTGACTGTTTCTAGTATGTGTAGTCTCAAACTCATCAATTAAAGAAGTTTCGAAAACATGATAACCCATGCGACATTATGTGCTCTGATCTAAATAATTTGTATCTAAACAATCGTAGCGATGAGTTGAGTCGACGGTCACGCACTATTGTCAGATATTTTTATTAATTTTTAACTTTATTGAATGAAAGAGTATAGCTATTTTTTAAAAGAAATGAATGTTGTTGCCTGCAATCAGTTGCGGGTAAAAAACGACTATATTTTGCCGTTAAATAAATATCGCCATCACAAAACAAACATCTCACCGAATCGGCGTGACATTGCAAACTCTAAAATACGTTTTCACAAAAAAAATCGCGAATGGTTTTTCCATTCCGTTAGATTATTATCCCTATTGCCCCTGAAGAATCCATTTCGGAAACGCACTAGTTTTGGAAAGAGTCTGGCAGCGTGGAGAAATTTGGCCGCGACTAAAATATTTTTCTCTCCTTCGCCAACATAAATGCAATGCATTTTTTTCTAGGATTACGTATCTTCAAAACAAAACGGGGAAAGGATATCAATTAAACATTGCCTTTTTCTTCCTTTCAAAGGATTAAGCCTGACAATTTCCAATTCTGCATTTCCAAGACTACTAGTGCAAGGGAATGCAAGTTATCCAAGCATGAAAAAATTTTATCATATTCCATCTTTGGCACTCTTCACCGCTGCCGTTTTCATCTGTCGCTTACTCGTAAACTTACGTCCAGCTTCACAAAAAGCTGTAATTGGGAAGAATTTGACGTACTTCGACTTACTTGGCTGTTTGTTTGTATTTTTTTCTCGGTTAAACTTCAATTTAATCGAACCTGTCGAAAATTAACGTATTTGTGTACATTATCATCGAGAAGAAATGCTAATTACGTCTCTCACAACACCGTAAGCCCGCGCTGTACTTCGTGGAAGAGTGAAAAACAAAGAAAACTTTGTTGGTAAACGCATTTTTTGAACAGAAATGAAGTTCACTGAGAACTTGAACCAAAGAAAACTTCAAATATGTGACATTTATTGCCTAAAAAGCCATGTGCGAAGAAATACTGAATTCTGAATTTTTGGTCGTAATGGCGGCCGTTCAAAAAAAGGTTGAACTTGAACTTTCTTTGGAGAAGAGTACGTTTCCTCGCGATAAATGAGGACATTTGCTGTCAGATGCGATTATTAACCGTGCGATGTACGACTATTAAGTCTAAAAGCCAGTCAAACACGACTATTAATGAGTTTGTACGCGATTAATAGTCGTACTTACCACGATTATTATTCGTGATAGGAGACGCTTTCAGACTATTAATCGCTAGAAATGCCATTTGCGATTAATAGTCTTACTTTAAGGACTTTTGAGCTAAATAATCGTAAAATTTGCACTCCGGAAATAAAAAACACTCCGGAAATTAATAAATCCCATCTTTCCATTTGCGAAACATTTATGTCGATTTCGGGACGTCCTGTGAAAGTCAGCCAAACTTATCCGTGAAAAAAATTGTCAGGTGGTGGTTATTTGGCACTCTTAATTAAAACAAAACAAACCAGACTCTAAAGATGTCCGCATTAAACTCTTAGTTTATAACTGAAGAAGGATCTCTTATAAATTGGATTCCTGAAGCAATTTAAACTATATGAGCAAAGTAATCATAAAGCAAATAGCACAAGCGAGACATTCACGCGGTGGTCATGTTGTTTGCGTCATGGTGGTCCACAAAACAGCTTTGGCAGCCATATTAAGGATGCAGGAACACAATAGCTTAATTGCTGTCGTTTTATGTCATTATGACAAGATATCAAAAGGGATAGACGTCTCCTCTTTTTATGCTTCAGATGGTTGTTGTACATTCGACGTGCTTAGACAAACGATCGAACTTAATCAACAGGGTCCACTTAAATTGGAACTAGATTAGACTGATTTCAAGTTTGATATTCGACCGGGGGGTTGGAAAAAAATGGTTGAATTGGTGTAATTTTTTCCTTCATCGTCGTACGTTAAAACATCATAACTCTTCTTGAATTTTGATAATTGATTTTCAGAATAAGCTGAGGGGTTAATATGAAGTGCACTCACAGAAACATAATTGAAATAACCCTTAAAAATATAACAATTTTTTATGTATTAAAATTCAGCAATGAACTCCTTTTTTTCTTTTTTGATTTATGCTCAAATGAAAAAATTGGGCTTTTAATAAAGTCCTCTATTCAGCCATGTTCAATGGATTACCCTGAAATTCTACGAGCATTACGGGCGATGATGTTACTTTACGCTTCGTGTTCCTCGTTCCAGGGTCATATACGATAAATTCCAGCCTAAAGGTTCGCTGAGAGCCTTCGGATGAGGCGTTATTCATATATTGCGGAACCCAAACCGTTTAAGCTTTCAAATTATTTTTTAATTTTTAACACTCAGGGTAAATGACTGCTGACTGCTCGCCAAGTTGGACGTCATGGAAAATTTAAACATATTTCTCTTCTTTGTACCCGAGAGCAAACTTTATACTTATCTCATTGCTCTTCATATACAAAAAAAAAAAAAAACAAATATATATATATATGTGTGTGTGTGTGTATGGGTTTCGGAGGTTCCACGGTCTGCTGATCCATAGTTTAGTAACACCCAAGAATATGGAAATTTCTTCAAAACATTTTGGAGACCAATCACTCAAGATTCAAATTGTGCAGAAGTGTTATTTGAGCGGTTAGATTTGAAACCCGATTCCTTCGCTTAAAGAAACAGCCGTCGTCCGTTTTGAATTGCTGCAAACTAAAACGAAACACTATTTTTATTCTGGATAGCGCATTTTACATCCTTTTCATTGTTTATAATTTGGTTGCACCCCGAATAACCCGTTTAAAGAATTTTCCGAAGTACATTCGCGAAGGTCTACCGTATCCTTAAAAATATTTTCCACATTTAACAAGTTTTATTCAGCTGGTTGGTAAATTGCGGAGATGCGGCATTTATCAAAATTTCTCTGTCTGCTCCCTACTAAGGTAATAAAATTCGTGGGTAGATATCAAAGGGCATGTAGCAAATAAAATGCATTAGCACCGTCTAACTCGAAATCTAATAAACTTTTTCATTGTTTCAAATGTTATTCTTGAGATAACAATCAATTTATTTGCTTATTCTCTTCCACAGTCATCCTTCATTTGTTGATGCATTTGCCAGGAACAGGTGAGGCAGTGTAATTTCAATCTTAACATTTATGCACCTTAACATGAACGGTAAAAAACAGATAATATCTGACTGATTATGCCAATAATAAGCCATAGACTTCCTGGTAGAATTACATCGGATTGTGATTTAAAACGTAAGTTGGAGAGCAAAACAAAAATTCAATGAATAACGGTGCTATTACCCTGATCTCCCCAATTTCCACTTTTAAAACGTTACGTAGCCTAATTGTAACTTTTGCTTCGGTGAGGTAGAGGATTTTGATGCCCATGGTTTTTTATTAAAATTAATTGTATAAAAAATACTTTTTCGTGTCCATCATCAGCATTATTACATGACTGTAAATATATGAACATCATATATGTGCACTGCGGTTGATGAACAGTTATGAACACTGCTTGAGTAGTAGTGAAAATGTGGCCTGAAAAAATAAATTCAGCTCCCAGTTGGCCTGTTAGCTCAGTTGGTAGAGCGCTGCACCGGTATCGCAGAGGTCATGGATTCAATTCCCGTATATAACCGTTCATAGAGGATCGAGGATCGCTTCTATATTCGTATCAGCATTATTGTTATCATCAGTATACGTTTTTTTCATTTATTTATTTATTCCTTTATTTTTTCTCATAGAGTGCCAAGCAACCTGTTTCAAAAACTCCTCTTACTTTTTTTCGAAAAGCGGAAGAATTTGGGATAACAACAATCGTGCTTGCTCCTACCAGAAAGGTTATTTAGTCTCCATAGAAACTGAAGAAGAATGGCAGTTTATCAATCGTGAGATTCAAAAGCGTGGTACTTGGAATGCTAGTGCGTGGCACATTGGTTTAGAGAAGAAAGGCGGGGTTTGGACTTGGCTGAGTGGAGAACAACTGAATATTTCGAAATGGCGAGATTCTGAGCCAGGTGGTGACGACAAAAGGGCGGAGATAACTAAGAATGGAGGGCTCTTTAATAGTATCTCTTCAAGTAGTAGAAATGCCTATATTTGCGAGACGCCCGGAGGTAAGATCACATTCCAACCATAAAGTTAAGAATTTGTTCATGCTTAGCGTGCGTATATCTAGTTATGGATGCACGCGGGAAGTTTGGAGAGCACGAAAAATGCGTAAGAGTAGCTCGAGGCGCAGCCGAGAGCAACTCTAGCTTTTTGAGTGCTCTCCAGACTTCCCAAGTGCATCCATAATTCGATATACGCACAGCTAAAAGCATGAGCAAATTATTTTATAGCAGAGCGACAACAAGGATCTGCGCGAAGAAGCCTTTTATTGTGATAGAGTGCAATTCTCGTCCCTATTGGCTGGTTAAAAACACGACACATTTTATACTTTGGTTTGAGCGAGAACTTTTGATCCAGTTAACCGATGAAAAGCTCAAATTTTACGGGGAAAATGGAGAAAATCAAAGCCAAATGAACTCATGAATGAATTCCCCGTGGATTAGGACCTAAAAGGTCAAAGCCGATTGAAAACTTGGGCAGTTCTTCGCTGGTTTTCTTCCGTATTTCTAAGAGAAGGAAACTGCACTGCAGCTTAACAGGACAGAAATTCTGAAGCCAGGTTAAAAAAAAAAAAAAGCTCACGTCATCTTATTTACGCAGGGCGTGCGTAAATAAAGATTTTGTTCATAGTGGCTCAATATGACTGTATAGGGCAAGCACGCGGGCTATGTTATGATTTAGTATGTGGATTGTAGGACCTTTGAAAGGTCTCGACTGTTTGGTAAGCCGATTGAAAACAATGGGCAGTTCTTCGCTGAATTCCTCAACCCGACTTCCCACAAAGCTACGACTATCAAGACATTAACAAGACGAGCGCAACTTGTTTGCAACACACCGGACAGTTTATCTGACGAAAACAAGTACCTTGACCGCGTTTTTGACAAAAACAACTACAACACTGACTTCATTAGACGAAACACCCACAGAGTTACCGACACTACAGAAACTAACAGGGACTCCACATCTATCACGACTACAGCTGCTATACCCTACATCATACAACATTCGCGTAGCTCACAGCAGCCTATTACTACTTTACGACATTTGCTGAAATTCTGAAGCCAGGTTTAAAAAAAAAAAAAGCTCACGTGATCTTATTTACGCACTAACTGAACACAAACGAGCGTGCGTAAATAAACATTTCTGAACATCACCGATTTTGTTCATAGTACAAACTATTTTCAACGGCTCAATAGACTTGTATTACCAGCACCTTACAAACGGGCACAAACAACAGCACGCGACCAATGACTGTTAACAAACTCTACACGAGTCTTCCAGCCAATCACATCACGCTATGTTATGATATGACTATCGCACAGTTATGTGCTGAAAAATTACAGTCTTGCAGTTGTGTCATGAAAATTGCTCTTGCTTCTTAAAAGTAAAAATATTGTTCACAGAATATGCTCAGCTCACCTAACTTGTACGTGTGAGCGGTGAACGAATTTTAAAGCGCGTATTAGTAGTTGAACATACTAATTTCCGGGACACATGTTTCAAAAGAAAAATTGAATTACCCTAGTATTGTCCTTTTTTTGCATCGACTACAGCTGGAAAACAGCGATCGAAATTGTACGTTTCACAACTTTTGTCCAGCGCGCTGCGGTTAGGATAATCTAGCCGACGGAATTTTCCTTTGCCACAAGTTACAAGGCGTGTTCACTGAGATCAGTGAGTGTATGTATGTTATTTTGAACATAACGAATCGAAGTATTTTATTTTTCTGTGTGTGTGCGTGTGTGTGTTTCTTGTAGTTAGTGATAAATGTTATTTACTGACAGGGAGGTCCGTATTGGGTAAGATTGTGCCCGAGGTCTTGACCACCGGTACTTTAGGCAGAGTGCACAGTTTTTCCCAATATGGACCGACCTTAGCTGGTGAATAACAGTTTTTTCGTATACTTTACGAAATGTTTTCCAAAAGAACCCTAATGAGTCAGGGCTGTAATTACGGCAAGGTCCTCCATGAACTGAAAAATTTTTGAGCGAGTACGTGGAACAGACTGAGGTAATGCAAATTAAAGAATGGCTTCACCGAAATATTTTTATTTGTGTAATGAAAAAAGGTGATTTAAAACAGAGTTTCAAACATTTTTTGTACAAATATCTGTCAAAATCTGACACCTGTCTATTAGAAAGCGCGCAAGAAAAAAACACAAGCACGCTTTAAAAATATCAACAACAACAGCCACAACAACCACAACGGTGCTGGTTTGGTAAACAAACTTAAGTGAAAAGTAATTGTAGGTAAATTCAAGTCTAGGTTTTGAAGTTGTGGGATTTTGCTCGTTTGTTTGGTGCAATCACGTGTGTAAGTCTTGTCTTTCATGGAGAGGGGGAGTTTTCATGCACCTTTTTCTCGTTGAATTCCTTCGTTATCTGTTGTGAAATGAACGAAGCAATGTCTAATTTGAACGGAACTGCAAAGACTTATCGAAAGCGTATTTGAAGTAAAGAAGACTTCGCTCACTGGTTTTCAAGGGACAAATTTTTTGAGAATTCACATATAAAACGAACAAAATTTTCATCATTGAACTCAATTGTAAACAAATACCTCACAATTTAACTTTCTGAGTTACTTCTAATAAAGGTTTAGGTTAATCACAAACGGTTTTAGGCCGCGCGTCAACACATTTAATGACATATTTCCTACCACAATTCATTTCAAAACCACTTTTTTTCCTGGCAACCAAAGTGATTTGGGAGAGAGAAAGAGAGGATTAATAAGTTATTAATCGGCTTGGTTTTCTATAAAATGGTTATTTAGTTTTAACAACTGAGTTAAAATCGTAAATTGGCCACCATAAAAAGTTTAAAGGCTCCAAACTCTTAACGGTGGCCAATTTGTGTTTTCATCTCAGTTGTTGACACTAAATTACCTGTTATATTCTCCCACCGACGCAGCACCACAGTTTCTTTAGAAACTTACCGCCTTTATCTCTTTGAAATGATTTGCTTAAAAATACTGCTTAGCCGGCAAAACGAAATATAGTTATGAAAAATGGCAACAAAGCTAGGGATGTAGCTTGCGACTCCCGCAAGCGATACCGTGCCTGTGGGCAGAAAGAGGAAATTCCGGACCGCGTTATAGATCAATAAGATTTCAGGATTCGTAACTGCGCCCTCTGAGAAAAACAAATAATAAATACAGTTCTTTCGAGAAAGGTTGTCGGAAAAAGCGTGTCGGAAGTGCAAGCGATAACCCCGAAAGGTATTGCGGGTAGCTTTTAGGTCATGGTTAGACTTGACCTCAGAGTTCAGGGAAAGCTAAGAAAATGTCACTTTAGGTTTCACATGTTTGATGAACTTATTTTATTTACAAGACTGATTTTAAATTCTAAACTGCACGAAAAACGAAAAACAGATCGAGCTAACCCTAATTAATTTATCCTTACTTTTTTATATGCATATTGATAACCGTTACCCACATAATAATTTCCAGATTGCCGCGTGCACTTTAAATTGCTGCTCTTTTGCACCTTTCCTGTAACAACTGTATACCGTTAACTGCGTATCTCCAGTTGCACATTTATAAGAACTTATATTCACATTTGATTTTACGTTTTTAAGTCTGTTCAGGTTGGAGGGGGGGGGGGGAATTTAGGTGTCAGCTCAACGAGGAACTAATTAATATTTAAAAACTCAACCACCAAAACTACATGAATTCACAGATAATCTTAGCTAATGGGAAGTTACCTAAGTCAGAAAAGCAGGTCAGAGATGGCGGACGCCGTAGTGAAGAACGAATGTATTGTATCAATTGACACTGATCAACCATCATATTAAAAAAATAGGAATCAAATAGAGAATAAGTTACGTTTCCATCTCATTTATGTTTCTCCTTTATTGAGATTGTGATTATAATCATTTTATGTTATCATCATTATTATAATTATGACTTTATTTGTCATCATTATGATAATTAGTATTTTTGTTGTCATCTTTACCATTTTGTAGAATGCCCAAATATAACTTTTAAAAACTCTTGGTACATAATTTCTGTGGATGGATGGTCCTGGCAGTGGAGCAGAGACGACTGCCGAGGGCAAGGAGGGGACCTCGTTTCCTTTGAAACCGAAGAGGAATGGAATTTCATCAACGATGAGATTCAAAGGCGAAATTCTACGAACTATAAAAATAAATGGAGTATTGGTTTATTCAAAAAAAAAAACACCGGAAAATGGACCTGGGTGAGTGAAAGACCACTGACTATTTACAAATGGGGAAAAGGGGAGCCAGGAGGTGAACACCGCGCGGCTTTCATGTATAAGCGGTCTAGTAATGGCAAACGAGGCGTGTTCGGTAGTGTTCAAGATAAAAGTACGGAAAAGAAGCACGCTTATATTTGTGAGATTTCTAAGGGTGAGTTGATTTTTTGTCGTTGTTGTTGTTTTTAATGTTATTTCGATTAACTTAAAAAGCGCCAGAAGCGCTTAAACGTCATATAAGATACATGCAAATTATCACTTTATAAAATGGATACAAAAGACTTGCAGGTGTTCTTCGCATAGGGGAATCAATTTTGTGTTTACTGTATTCTATTTTAATATCCGATCGTTTGAACCTTAAAGTTGTAGGAGCTAATTTCAATGCAATGCAAAATGTGCAGTGAACATAATAAAATGACCGTGCTGCATCTAATTCAAATATGGCGGACATTTCGATCGACTTAGGGTGTGGTTCTTTGTTTTTCCGTGAAAGACGTAGAGGCGCATTCGTCTTGCAAATTGTTCAAAATCTCGCATGAGTTGTCGCCTAATTTTACATTCGATTGTCCCGGATGTTGGGATGAGTTTGAGACACTTTGATAGCACGCTGACTTGACTGTCAGAAAGTTGATAGTATGAGAATTTTTTTTTAGGAATTTTTCCTTTATCTCCCTATCTTTGGCTAAAAGCCTACATTTTAAAGTGTGTCTACGCTCTATGCGTCTTATGCTTTATTTTTTTTTTACTTCCACTGTTGTAAAAGCTAGCTTTTTAAGGGTCAGAGAACACATTGTATTCCATCGCTTTTATTTGCAAGTGTATAAATAAGCTCTCTAAGGTCAGAAATCTCATTCCTTCATTCGGCTATTTTATCACAGTTTTTTTACACTGTTCGCCGAGTGCTTTCCTTTGAGCGGTTGCCTATCTACCTGTATGTTCTTACGAGCTGAGAGTTCGTAGTTAGCCCTCTTTCTTTGGCTCTCAGCCTTCTTTTGTGAAAGTTAGTCAAGGCATTAGCTAAGCCTTGTTGACCTTGTTGTTTTCTTTTACTTCGAACAATATGTACGCCATTCCTTTATAATACTAATTAGTTGTTATTAACCTTCACTTTAATTGCCTCATATTCATATTAAAAACGTGTATGGCATTGTCTTCAAAGAAGAGAGGAAGCTTTTCAAACTAATTAGATAAATGTTTATATTTCTTTTTTGTTTTCATCCTTTCGTCATCAGAAGAATCATTAACAGTATCATCACCAACATGGACAGCATCACAAACCTACACAGCATCACCAACATGGACAGCATCACCGAGATGGAAAGCATCACCAACATACACAACATCAACAACATACACAGGATCACCAACCTACACAGGACCACCAACCTGCACAGGACCACCAACATGGACAGTATCGACAACAATGACAGTTTTACCATCACCGACTTCATTATCGTCATCAACAACTGAAGGTTGCTTATTTTCCAAAAGAAAGGCTTTTTCTGATTTCACTTGGCATCTTTTCAGCTTTCATGCCACCCTTTTCTGTAGCGAGGGCTTTGTCTTAAAAGTGTGGGAAAGACAGTATCCAGTAGTCTAATTCGTGTTTCTGAAAAACGCTATTGTGGCTAGTTTCATAACTGAACATAAACGAGTATACAAGAGAAACTCTTTAGTATCTTGAGTGGGGGGGTATTTCTTGAGGGAATGTGACAATGATTCCACGACAGAAATCTTAGGAACTCTGTGCTGTTTACTATTATATGCCAATCGAAAGAAAAACATTTCGTTAGAAATTTGGAAAAGTAATCTGAATGTGTCTTCCAATGGCTACTTTAGCCTGCCCAGGTACACTGATGACATAGCACAACCATTCTGATTAACAGTAAGCTGCGTTTAAAAAGTAGCAAACTTTTGCTTTTTGTTACAACGGCTTTTAGGTAAGATGGAGGACCTTGTTGCAGTCATTTCTGGCGGACTCAAGGAAAACATCACATTGGATGGTTCACTCTCATATGACCCTGAGGCTACACGTGGTGACCAACCGGGAATGAACTTTACTTGGCATTATGGTGAGATCACAGGGAACTACTCCTCTGTGGAGGGAAGAAAGAGAGGTTTCTTTATAGCGGTAAACGAGTCAGTTTTCAATATAATGGAAGAGCATCTGGCGTGCGAATTTACTTGGATACACAGGCTATGTCTCTCAGTGATATTTACATAGTTAGACTGGTTGTGGCCAAAGACTATCGCAATGCTAGCGCTTATCAATCACAGTTTTTTTTTCCACTGTTTGCCGAGTGCTTTCCTTTAAGCGGTTGCTATCTACCTGTATGTTCTTACGAGCTGAGAGTTCGTATTGAGCCCTCTTTCTTTGGCTCACAGCCTTCTTTTGTGCAAGTTAGTCAAGGCATTAGCTAAGCCTTGTTGACCTTGTTGTTTTCTTTTACTTCGAACAATATGTTCGTTCTTCCTTTATAATACTAATTAGTTGTTATTAAACTTCACTTTAATTGCCTCATATTCATATCGAAAACGTCCATGGTATTGTCTTCAAAGAAGAAAGGATGCTTTTCAAACTAATTAGATAAATTTTCATATTTCTTTTTTGCTTTCATCCTTTCGTCATCAGAAGAATCATTAACAGTATCATCACCAACATGGACAGCATCACAAACCTACACAGCATCACCAACATGGACAGCATCACCGAGATGGAAAGCATCGCCAACATACACAACATCACCAACATACACGGGATCACCAACCTACGCAGGACCACCAACATTGACAGTATCGACAACAATGACAGTTTTACCATCACCGACTTCATTATCGTTATCAACAACTGAAGGTTGCTTATTTTCCTAAAGTTAGGCTTTTTCTGACTTCACTTGGCATCTTTTCAGCTTTCATGCCACCCTTTTCTGTAGCGAGGGCTTTGTCTTAAAAGTGTGGGAAAGACAGTATCCAGTAGTCTAATTCGTGTTTCTGAAAAACGCTATTGTGGCTAGTTTCATAACTGAACATAAACGGGTATACAAGAGAAACTCTTTAGTATCTTGAGTGGGGGGGTATTTCTTGAGGTAATGTTACAACGATTCCAGGACATAAAAAATTTTAGGAACTCTGTGCTGTTTACTATTATATGCCAATCGAAAGAAAAACGTTTCGTTAGAAATTTGGAAAAGTAATCTGAATGTGTCTTCCAATGGCTACTTTAGCTTGCCCAGGTACACTGATGACATAGCACAACCATTCTGATTAACAGTAAGCTACGTTTAAAAAGTAAGAAGCTTTTGCTTTTTGTTTCAACGGCTTTTAGGTAAGACGAAGGACCTTGTTGCAGTCATTTCTGGCGGACTCAAGGAAAACATCACATTGGATGGCTCACTCTCATATGACCCTGAGGCTGCACGTGGTGACCAATCGGGAATAAACTTTACTTGGCATTATGGTGAGATCACAGGGAACTACTCCTCTGTGCAGGGAAGAAAGAGAGGTCTCTTTATAGCGGTAAACGAGTCAGTTTTCAATATAATGGAAGAGCATCTGGCGTGCGAATTTACTTGGATACAGAGGCTAAGTCTCTCAGTGATCTTTACATAGTGAAACTGCTTGTGGCCAAAGACTATCGCAATGCTAGCGCTTATCAATCACAGTTTTTTTTTTACACTGTTCGCCGGGTGCTTTCCTTTGAGCGGTTGCTATCTACCTGTATGTTCTTACGAGCTGAGAGTTCGTAGTTAGCCCTCTTTCTTTGGCTCTCAGCCTTCTTTTGTGAAAGTTAGTCAAGGCATTAGCTAAGCCTTGTTGACCTTGTTGTTTTCTTTTACTTAGAACAATATGTTCGTTATTCCTTTATAATACTATTTAGTTGTTATTAATCTTCACTTTTATTGCCTCATATTCATATTGAAAACGCTATGGTATTGTCTTCAAAGAAGAGAGGAGGCTTTTCAAACTAATTAGATAAATGTTTATAGTTCTTTTTTGTTTTCATCCTTTCGTCATCAGAAGAATCATTAACAGCGTCATCACCAACATGGACAGCATCACAAACCTACACAGCATCACCAACATGGACAGCATCACCGAGATGGAAAGCATCACCAACATACACAACATCGCCAACATACACAGGATCACCAACCTACACAGGACCACCAACATTGACAGTATCGACAACAATGACAGTTTTACCATCACCGACTTCATTATCGTCATCAACAACTGAAGGTTGCTTATTTTCCAAAAGTAAGGCTTTTTCTGACTTCACTTGGCATCTTTTCAGCTTTCATGCCACCCTTTTCTGTAGCGAGGGCTTTGTCTTAAAAGTGTGAGAAAGACAGTATCCAGTAGTCTAATTCGTGTTTCTGAAAAACGCTATTGTGGCTAGTTTCATAACTGAACATAAACGGGTATACAAGAGAAACTCTTTAGTATCTTGAGTGGGGGGGTATTTCTTGAGGTAATGTTACAATGATTCCAGGACATAAAAAATTTTAGGAACTCTGTGCTATTTACTATTATATGCCAATCGAAAGAAAAACGTCTCGTTAGAAATTTGGAAAAGTAATCTGAATGTGTCTTCCAATGGCTACTTTAGCTTGCCCAGGCACACTGATGACAACGCAGAACCATTCTGATTAACAGTAAGCTAAGTTTAAAAAGTAACAAACTTTTGCCTTTTTGTTACAACGGCTTTTAGGTAAGATGGAGGACCTTGTTGCAGTCATTTCTGGCGGAGCTGAGGTGATTCGAGGACTCAAAGAAAACATCACATTGGATGGCTCACTCTCATATGACCCTGAGGCTGCACATGGTGACCAATCGGGAATGAACTTTACTTGGCATTATGGTGAGATCACAGGGAACTACTCCTCTGTGCAGGGAAGAAAGAGAGATTTCTTTATAGCGGTAAACGAGTCAGCTTCTCAATATAATGGAAGAGCATCTGGCGTGCGAATTTACTTAGATACCGAGGCTATGTCTCTCAGTGATATCTACATAGTTAGACTGGTTGTGGCCAAAGACTATCGCAAAGCTAGCGCTTATCAAGTCATCCATTTGGCGAAAGGAGATCCCCCTAAAATATATCAAAGGTAAGAAAGTTGGCATGTTGTTGATGCTATCGTTGTGGCTGTTGCTTGTTCTTTTTGTTGCGACTGATATCCCTATTTATTTTCCTATTTTCTTATTGTTGCTACTGCTTCAGTTGAAGTTGTTGCTGTTGATTTTGCCATTGCTGTTGTTGTTGTTGTTTTTTTGTGATGTCTTGTCTTGTATGCCCGAAGTGCTGCTGTATTTTGCCTTTCTTCCTCTGTTGCAGTTATTATGACCACCATTGTTCTCAACAAGCAAGGCCGTAGTTACGCTACATTGATCTACATTCTCATTTAGTAATCGACATTCGTTCCTTATTTCAGGTGTTTCATAAATTGTCTGCCTAAAATCAGCCCCTCAGTACGACTTAGTGTCCGATCAGAATGCAAGGGATTACAGTGCTTCAAAATTTCTTCATATGAGTGGATACTCTACCAGCGATATGAGGGAAACACGTCCACTGTTTGGCAAAGAAAATATAATTTAGAACTCATTACAAGTACACCTCTAAATGCAAGCAACATTGTTATAAATGGAGGTTCCCTTGCTGCTGGAAATATGTACCGCTTGGCATTATTTATCACAACTAACGACGGTTTATGGGCGATGTCAGCCTACGACATTTCCACCGCGTTACCGCCCACAAGGGGGACATGCTCGATCACTCCGTCAAGTGGCATCTCCTTGGAATCACACTTTAATCTGAGCTGTATCAACTGGACAAGTGACAGCACCCCTCTGTCCTACCGGTTTCAATATAGACTAGAGAACGGTATGTACACTGTGTTATATCATGGCGTCAACAACTCCATAGTTACCTTTGGGATACCGCCTGGGAACAATGCAGAAAACTATACCATGAGATTCAACGTTGTTGTGACTGATAGCTTCGGAATTTCTGCCTCTCCTGTTAATCTAACAGTACAGGTAAGTTAAGTTGGTAGGTTCTGTAATATTGATGTAGTTGGGAAATTTTGTTGACATAATTTCGTCATTTTTTGAAAGCTAGCCATCGGAGGGTAAAAAAGCAAACTTTTTCTAAACATGTAACCTATCCAATATTGACCAATGCTCTTTCTGTAGGTTAAACCTTCCCAGGGTCTAAGACCAGATGAAATCACAAGCCTGGAGGCCATGATCCAGGAAGTCATCAGAAAAGGAGACTTGGGAAAAGCGGCACAATTAGCAAACTCTGTCCTTCAAATTGTTACACAAGAAACCAAGATGAATTTGGAGAAGAAAATCAAGGTAAATGCAATTACAAATGTTTTATATTTCATGGACGCACTATTCGTGTAGTAGCATAATGATATCTCTGCGTATCCAAGTATTTGCACATACGTGTGTTAATGTATTGTGGTACTAATGACTTTTATAATCCAACTGCACTGAGTAGACTACAAATAATACACAGAGAATAATACATGCTCCCGTAGATATGGAATTTTTCTAGGAGCTTTTAACTCGATAGCTCACGAGTGAGCGCAGCGAAAGAGTGAGATGTCGAGTTGAACACGAGAAGAGAAATTCCATATCTACAAGCAACCATGAATTACTTTGTTTATCATACAAACACAATAGCTCTTTACTGAGAAGAAAAGCCGACTTCATTTATGAATTAAAATAAATGAATCGACATTCCCCGAATAATAATCGTAGACTATGTTGGCCCTAGCTCCTAAGATGGAAAAATGCGTTGAATCATGATTAAAAAAACAACAATGGTCGTAATTTTCAATTTACAAAATTCTCAGTTATTGACTTTGTCCTTACCGACAGAAGAGGTCTTTCAGGTAAACGGCCAAAATCGGCTAGTGGCAAATCTTCCAGTTGTCGATTTTCATCCTCAGCCGGGAGAAATGCTAACACCAAAGCCACTGAATATGTAGCTTTCGGTTTTTCTTTTAGTATATTGGTTTTCTTCCCCTTCTAAGAAAGTTTCAACCTCACTGTCTGTCAGCAATACGGATTTTTAGTGTTTTAGCCGCCATAATTCGAGAAAGCTCCGACAAACAACTTTAATTGAGAATCGTGAAGGCTTCGCCTTTAATTCATCAACCAGACCGAGTGGCGCCAAAGGCGAGTGACGTGTCAGCAGCTGATTCGCTTTATCAACACACGTTAAAAATACGATATTTTTTCACGTGTGTTATTACGGCTTTTCTCAGGGCCGGGAATCCCTGTATAACACCGCAGTTTATGTGATAAATAGTATTTATGTGAACTAATTTATTCGTGTATTCGTGCACTCATGTACTCGTATAGTAGTGTGGTCGTGCATTCCAGTATTCGTGTAGACGTTTATGTTTGTGTACCTGTGCTGTCGTATATTCGCATGCTAGAAGGTTCTTGCATTAACATATATGCGATTGAACTTCATTGCATTTCAAGGTTGTAGACTTTGTAATCAAAACTATTACGTCAGTGAAGGTAAACAACACTGCAGACCTGCTTCAAAGCTCCTCCGTGATTGGTTCTGCCCTTCAAGTCTTAGAAAAAGTCTCTCCCGAGTCATTGGTAGGTAAAATAAGACCGATCGTTTATCATAAAGAATGACACACATGTAGAGGGATATAAAATTGCCACAATTGACATAAAAATTATTGATTGCTTTTTTCATGAGCTAGAGTTTTACAGCGCTGTCGGTTGTCTTGATTTAGTTTTATCATGCACAGGCTAAAAATGTTTGAGAATAAATGCCAAAAGGCGTTTTAGAATTCCTTTACCTAAACAAAAATGGTTTAAAGGCGACGATACCTCTCTAAACCCGGGCTCCTAGAAATAGAAATGTACTGTGCTGAGCAGCAAATAATTCCATGTTTGTTCATAACGCACTTTCAGGAACTGTCGTTATCGGCTGTCGATTCGCAAACGACCTTCTTAAGGTCTATCGTCCAGTTGAAGGACGTTGCTGATATGTCTTTAGTCACTCAATCAGCAGAAAACTTAGTTTGGTGTCTTCGAAGTGTGCTAAAGATATCCGCAGAGATGGCTTCAATAGATTCCATCTTAAGCTTCCAAGAGCAGGTATTTTGTTAGCTGTTGTAGTCTCACAGCGAAATCTAGTTACATATGAAACTTCAAGCTGCACTTGAGTCGGCTTCCCTCATTTTTAACTGACACATTGCGTGTCAAGCTGGTGCCGCTGTCAAATTACGTGATAAAGTTGCCATTATCGCTACTTACAATAGGTCGTCGCAAACCTTACAAGTGCCTCAAAAAATTAATTTTTTTTTTGTAATTGTCCCTGCTAAGCTCTTTTTGTTAGTCTAGCTTTGCTTCTTTTTGTTATTTTTACTTGTTTGCTCGTGATGTTTTGTTTCATTTTACAGGGTGAGAGGTCTGCTAATACTGCCCTAAAAGTGCTGGGAAAAGTTGCAGACGCATTGTTAGCCCTAAGAGTCCCAGGTGAAAACATGATATCGATCTCCACGAGTCAATTGAACATGACATTAGGGCGACATAGCCCGAATAAACTTGCAGGGCTGCAGATAAAGGGTGGAAGTGGCAGCTTCATTTTACCACCATGGCCTGTCACAGGAAGGAACAGAACAAGTTTTGTCGACACCCAGGTAAGGGATTACATCAAAATAAGAAACGAGCGCATGTCAAAATCGATTTAGTCGTGGGTGACTTCGGAAAGTCTGATAACCCAAGACCAAACGCATTGGAAGGTACAGTCTTTGTTAGGCATCCTGAACTCTTTTTCTCGTTTGGCTTCCATAATTATGGTCAGTTAGCGATAATTATCATGTCTCTTAATCCTCAATTCCTTAAAGTCAACAAAAAGTTTTGATTTATTCTTATTGCAGATGCTATCAATGTCATTCAACCCCTACACCTGGGACAGCACCAAAGAGCGAGTCGACTCTGAGGTTCTATTTCTGGACTTAAAGGACAATAAAAGCGAGCTCTTGGAAGTGTCAAGTCTACCAGAAGACATTGTTATCGTTATTCCATCAAAACCTCGGACAATGCCCAAGGAGCTATGGTACTTCACGACGGATGACGATTTACGTTTCCACGAGATAACTGTCAAGTACGAAAACACTCTGATACAGGTAGAAGTCAAACCCCAAGAGCCAACTGTACTTCTGTTTGTTTACTTGCGATTTGGTCAACGGCCAACGACTCGAAACTACGATCTCAATGCCACAATCTCTCAAAATGGACAGTGCGTTTGGACTGCAAGTGCGCATGACAAAAAGGAGAGACAACCAGAATGCTCGTCGAACCCACCTACCCCAATAGCAACATTGGCCAGGCATCCTGGAAAATACTTTCTGGGCGTAAAAAACTATAATGCCACCACGACCACCCCACACAGGAGAAAGAAAAGATCGTGTTTTACAGCTGGACGGCAAAAGCGCTCTTGCGTCGAAGTCAAAGATCCCCCACCTACCCTACCCATGAGTAAAACTGCATCTGTGACACCAGCTTATGATTCCAAAACCGATCAGAACTATACTCTGAGGGTGACCTTTGGTAGCTGTGTATACTGGTCAGCGAAAGTTGAGATGTGGGTAACAAAAGGCTGTCGGGTGAGTCGGTGTAAAGTGTTAACATTATCGAATAATTTTTATAATGTGGAATTAGTTCAGACACTTTTCAGAGAATTCGTGGGTTTCACGTAATTGTGGAAAAATGAGTGCTTCATTGTGATCATCTTCGCTTATTTGGCAACTGAAAATCTAGAAGACAAAACTTTGTCGAGCCCGTGTGTAGTCTTCCATCGCAAAAAATAAAATTATTCTCATAGCTAATCACGACCTTTGAATACCTTTGAATGGACAAGACGCATCATTAGCACTGAGAACCGAAACAGTGATTTTCTCTCTGGACAATTCCAGATTTTAGGAGCATTGGACAGATTTATTAACTGCAGCTGCGATCACCTGACATCCTTCGGCGGAAGTCTTTTGGTTAAACCGAATCCTATCGACTTCGACAAGGTTCAAGTGCAGATTCAAAAGTTGCCAGAATCTGGAAATATCACAGTTATTTTGGCGGTGGCGTTGGTTTTCTTAAGTTACGTGATTGTGCTTGTTATCGTCAGGAAGACAGACATAGAAGACTCTAAAATTGTAAGTTCTGAACATATTTTGTATTATGTAGAACTTAATACGCTTTGAAAACTTGCAGAATTCATATTTTTCTAAGTATCCTAAAAAAAACTGATCAGCAAACTT